GTGTTCAAAAGAGTCAGAAATGATACTTCAAAGAAAAACTGATTCCTACACAGTAGCGCAGTAGCTAACATATAATCAATACAGAAATTAGTCAACAAATACTTGCAGAGAATTTTCAGGTTTAATGGCAAGATCTAGGAAGCTTTCAAGAGACCAGGATCCAATAAAGTTACTCCTGCAGGATGGTATTGGATGACTGTATGACAGAAAACACCTTGAATAATAATTACTTACACGTAATAGCCTCCCGTGTGCTCAGGTAGAAAGGCATGATGTGTATGCCTTTGTCCTATTGCATTTCTTTTCATTCGTTTTCCTGCCTTGGGCCAAGATAATTATATATGTTTATGTAGTCAATTAATCATTCATTGAGTATTTACTACATGTGAGAGTGTGGAGGATGAAGAGAGAACCGTTAAACAAATAGATGAGTAGAATGAAGCGTGACCAGCATAAGGTTAGAGACATTTGCGGCCATGTGCGTGTGGCTTGTCACTCAGCTGTGAGGGCAGAATTACTGGCAGGGATGGCCGGGCCCAGGTCAAGGCTACAGGGTCATTGTACTCCGCTAGGAGTTCATGTCTTTTTACTTGTGGGCTGGAAGGTTGCTCCTTCCACAGAGCTTCCTGCCCTCTTCCACTCTTCAGTCTGTGGAAAACAGTGTGTATCTCTGAAGATGACACCGTGTTCTCCCACAGTTCTTACTCCGCCTGCTCCTCACAGCACATGAACCAGGTCTGAGGACAGCAAGCCGAAATTCAGGACCAGATCCAGTCTGACTTCTGTTTGTCTAAATAAAGTCTTTTTGACAAATAATCTTCTTACTGATGGCTGTTTTCACGCTGCAGTGGCAAAGTGAAGTAACGCTTTCAGAAATAATATGGGCTAAAATGCATAAAATATTTACTGTCTTTCTTTTCCAAAACTGGTTGGCCAGCCTTTTTTTTTTTTTAATTTAAACTTGGCAGTTTATAGTATTCAAGCAAGAGTTTACAGAACTTCATGCATTTTAGGGTGATCAAAACAGTTTTATAACTCTAACAAGCCATGTATTAACAACTGAAGAGTAGAACAGTCTTAGGCAGGTGAGCAGAGAGATCCCCAATAACTTAGCAAGTGAGGAATAACTGAACTCTACATCCTATCTAGTGAGGTCTAGGAAAAGCTAAATCGAGAACCTGACCAGTAAAATACAGGCTGAGCAATTATAGGCCAACTGACTTCTTTCTGTCTGTTCAAAACTTCTATATTAGTCTCTGTCTATGTGAGCTAATTTTGGAGCTCATGAGTGACCCTGATGGTCAGTGCAAGAGAGGATGGGGAGCCAAAGCTGGAACTAAGTAAGGACCAGAGAAAGCTCCTCACCTGAGTTCAAAAGGAAATTTGCAATTCTTTTATCTCTGAAAATCACCTAGGGCTCCTGACACATCCCGACCCAGAACATTCCCTAGGACTGGAACCACACATCCCACTCAGGCTCTGGCCCCTGTTTCTGACAGCCTGGTGATGAATGCATCAACTAGGACAAGGATTCACTGCCTGTCCCCAGAGTCCCGGGAGCTCAGTGCAGTCGATAAATATTTATTGAGTGTTTTCCGAGGCCTGAAGCACTTGCTCAGCATTACAACCAAATGAGCACAAATTCTTCAGGGTGGTTTCAGATAAATATATAAATGCATGTTAACGGGATTCAATCCAGTAACAGGGAATAGGGAAGAAACTATCCATCCATCTGTGTATCTTATCCAAATACTACTAACTTTGGGGTAAAGAGGAAAAAAGCCTGTTACATAAGTCATGGAGGTGAAATGATAGGGGGCAAGGAGAGAAATGAAGAAGGAAGACTTATAAATGGAGCTGTTTGAACAAATGAACATGCATATATTTTTAAAAGCTGATCTTTTTATTCTCTCTGGTTTTATATGGATAATACTTTCAACTGTCACTAAAACAGCTCCTCCATTCAAGGAATAGCAGAGTTAACTGGGCTCCCAAATGGCAATTTTTGCAGTAAAGATAAAATATGACTCTCTGCCATCCACTTGGAGATCCAGTGCCAATTTGCTGATTTAATTCTCCCTTAAGCCCAGTCACATTAGATTCTGTATGGTGTATCACCAATTTGGGCATGGGGATGGATGTTGGGATTCACTTATTTAAGACTGAATATTTATCCTGAGTTAGAAACAAATTAAAATCTTGCATTGAGATAATATTAAAAGAGAGGAATGTAATTACCACGTTCTCCCCTTGCCCGTCCCCTCTGGCTCCCACCGAGGCCTCACTGAGGATGGCAGCCTGCACGGAGCAGAAGGGAGATAAGGCCTTTTACCCTGCTGCGTGTTAGGCTCTGTTGAGCAGAAAATCTTGCCTTTGAGAAGTGATCCAATAAGAAAGTTTAATACAGACACTCCAAGATTCTGGCTGCTTCCAACTAAGTCCAACCTTCACAAACTGCAAGGAATCAAAGCGAGTAGTGCAGAGACTAACTGGCTCCAATTCTGGGAGCCCCACCCTATAATGAAGGGGAAACCAGGGCCCCATTGCTGTTAGGTGGCAGGAAGGTCACGGGGCTGGAATGGGAATCAAAACTGCTCAGGTTCTCCTCAATGCACCTGTCCACGGATGGAAGGATGGAAGGACCTTCAGAATCCAGGAAGTGATCCTCCCTTGGCGTTGGGTGTGGCCATTTGGGGAACTTAGAGAACACAGATAATACTTGATTGGCAGCACCTTGAAAGGGGTCTTTGCCTTTTTGAGGTCCTTCATATGGCATTTGATTGATGGATTTTGCAGCCACCAACTTTATCAGGGACACTTAACCAAAGATTTCTACCAGCTCCACTATGCTCTCCTGGGCAAGTCTTTTCCTAATTCCACTCGCTTCTGGCTTTCAGATCACCTACACGCTTACCTAACAGGACAGCAAGAAAATTCTCTGGAAGCTTTCTTCCTGGGAACTATCATGATTTCTGATCTCATATCCCTTCAGTGGCTTTGCACTTGCAGACCAGAGAAGGGAGTCCTAGGTCTCTAACAAGAAAATTCAAAGAAAAGTATTCTTAAGTTTAGAACAACAAAAGGAGTTCCAAAGAGCTCTGTTCAGACACTGCATTATGAATTTTTCTGTACAAGTTAGAGCTCATAACAGAAAAGAAAGAAGGCTCCCAAGGCCATGGAACAGAATGTTCTAGTTTGTCCCTTCCTGCTTTCCCCACTCCCACCCTCCAGGCCCAGATCCACCCAGCACAAGTTTCTCCAGTAGACCACCTGTCATTCTGAGACTTGCTAACCTGCCCAGCTCCCCCAGGCTCCGAGGAATTGATCAGATTCCCCTATGAGAATCTGAGATTCTCCTCTTCCCTTCGGGTTTTCTGGTTGTTTATTGACATGACTTTTCTCCCTAGATAAATTAGAGCATTGCAGGGTGCCAGGGGCACTGGATTCTGCTTGCAGTGGGTGCCTGCTGAAAATTGCTTGAGTGCTTGCTGAATGAAAACGCTTCACTTATAACCCCACACCCCTAATTCTGGCCCAGAAATCCTAGGAATCCAAAGATAATAGTAAAAAGAGTTCTGCAGAGTTCTGTGATGCCAGCAGAAAGCTGTGCTTCTATTTGTGTGTTTCTGAAGTCTCCAAAAGCATTTTGTTCCATGAAAGCCAGAAGTGTCTGCCTGTCAGAGAGTCAGGCATGCAATTTGGAGGTTTTGTCTGGGTGTCTTTAAACCCCCACAGCTGTACAAAGCATTGTTTCTACTCTTTAAAAAAATAATAAGGATTTTAAGAGATGGATTTATAAACATAGCAAGAAAAATACACATAGGGAGATGCCTTTCAAAGTGGAAGAGGAAGAATGGATGTGCTTTTATGCCTGTTAGGAAACACTGATTGGCCAATGAATCATTCCTCTAGGCTCTGTGGCATCTCAGAGACTGTGCACAGTTTCCTACATGTGGACACGCTCTTTCAGATGACACTGTTTAGCCCAGATACCGGACATGGGCTGGAGCTCTAATCTGCATGCTTCCCCTCCAACAAAATTCCATGTGCTCTGACATGTCCACCCCAGCCAGACAAAGCATCTCTAGAGTTGGCCACAGCCACGGCCTGCTAGATGCTCCAGGAGCAGGTAAAGATCTCCCCAGGAACTAATGGGTTTTGCTGGCTTCACGCCACTGCTTCCTTCCACCTACAGATTCACTTCCCTTCAAATTGTACAGACCAATATGGGGCAGCTCACCTTTCGACACGCCCCACATAAGCAAGTACCTGTTATTTCTATGACCACTAAGATCTAAAACAGGAAGTCCCTTTTGTTTTAAGATGCATTTATTTATCTTAAAAGTCAGAATTATGTATAGAGAGGGAAATGGAGAGACCTTCCATTCTCTGGTTCACTACCCAGTTGACCTCAATGACCAACGCAGGGCCAGGCTGATACAAGGGGCCAAAGGCTTCATTCGAGTCTCCCCTGTGGGTTCAGGTGCCGAAACACTAAGCCCATCTTCCAGCGATGCTTCCAGGCCGTTAGCTTGGCGTTGGACCCAAAAATGAAGCATCCAAGACTCAAACTGGTACCCAAATTGGATGCCAGCACCACAGGCAGCGACTTTAACCTCTATGCCACAATGCTGGGTCTCCGAGACAGTGTTTGTGTGAAGTACACTTACACAGTTTTCCTGATCTAATTTCTCCTTAAGCCTCTGATCTGTTCATGACCAGCATGTTCCCAGCATGAGCATTTCCATGATGAGATTATCCCCTGGAGTGTTGCCAGGCAGGTTCTGAAAGATTAAAGGATCTCGCTGACTTTTCTTAGGGATTTTCAGCATTACTTGTCATAAGCCATAAAGCTGCAGAACAGCATGTGGAAAGGGACTGGTAAGTGGTTGTAAGCCTCATCAGGAATGGGGATTGTGTACTGGCAGTGAAAACACAGAACTACTGAGACAGATGTGTCGGGATTGAACCATGCCTAAGTCCTTTCTTCTCTGTTGCAGGTACATGGCCATCATCCATCCCCTCCAGCCACGGCTGTCAGCCACCGCCACCAAAGTGGTTATCTGCGTCATTTGGGTCCTGGCCCTCCTGCTGGCCTTCCCCCAGGGCTACTACTCCACCACGGAGACGATGCCCAGCAGAGTTGTGTGTATGATCGAGTGGCCAGAGCATCCCGACAAGATTTACGAGAAAGTGTGAGTCCACATGGCTCCCGTGGGGCCTCTTTGTTTTCATATTATTTTGGTGTTGAAGATTTACTATGTACCTGTAGTGTTTTCTGATGTTGTGTGGATAGGTCCTTGGCTATGGGAGGACTGCACTATCCTAAATACTATTATAAGCTTTAAAAGAGCATGGAAAGACCCGGAGATGTGGTGTTAACAGATCCTTTGCAAGCCCCGCCATATAGCTCAGGTTTTTTATGGGACATACCTCCTGTGAGTTTCTGCATTTCTTTGAAAATTTTTTCTCCAAGTTGTAGAATGCCACTTCTGCACAGCACGGAAAAGCAGAAGGGTGGTTGGTATCCCCATTTCCACAGCTCTCAACCATTGCTGTTGGGACTCAGTGAGTAGACAATGGCCAGGGAGTTCCAAGGTTGGTGTTTTGCACCATGTCCAGGGTTACCCCATGGGGCTTAGCCTCACTTGTGCTATAGCAGCTGGTTCCATAACACATCCCCTACTGGCCACCAGCCCTTCTGTTCTCAATCCCCACATTCTTCTCCCAAGTAAGATACTTGAACTTGAGTGTATTTTCCAGGATCTTCCTCTGGGGAAGACTAAGGGCAGGCATACACATATGAGATACATGGGAATGCAGGGCTGGTACTCTGAGATATTACAGGTTATAAATTTCTTTCAGACAGATCTGTGGCTCCCAGAGGCCTGGATGATTGTATGTAGAGATTTTCAAAGTATCTTGGTATTTTTCTCTCTGCACTTATCCTATGGGCAACACTGAAGTGGCTTATTTGTTTTGTTCTGCTCAAGTGAACAAGTGTGACATGCATATTACCATTAGTGTTCCGGACTCCTAGTGCATGGTAATATGAGTCCTTTTGAAAGCCTTCTGTAATTCTCCAATCTTGGCGTTATTATGTGAGTTATATAAAGAAACACTGGTGTTAAAATCAGAGGATGGGGAGAGGGGTTAATTACAAAATTGCCACTAGTCTTAGAACCCTGGGCAAGAATTGCAGCCTCTCTTTGTTGTTAAAATGGAAAATGTTAAGATACTGTCTTGCATACACAATTGTTGTGATGATCAAATGAGCGAATGCATTCTCACCTGGTAAACTATTAAATGCCAGACAAAAGGTATGAACCAAATACATTAGATCGCAACACAATTATGAAGCCTATAAATTTACTAAATGTCAGCGTGAGATGCTGTACTTGTCATGCCTCCAAGATTTGAAGGCTTGGGAGTCTGTTGCACACAAAATCATCCTGCTGCATGCTTTCCATGGAGCAGGGCAGTACAGCTTACAGAGAGCAGTGCACAAAGCTCCGACTCCGCCTTCCAGACACCGACAGTGGGATTTCATTGATCAGGCAGCGGGGGGATTAATGCTCAGCCCAGAAGCAGACATTGAAAATTGTTCTTTCAAATGAAGTTACAAGCCGGAGCAAGATCTCGGCAGGAGGAAGAACACACTATTACAAACTGTCCAGGATCCGTGAATTTGTTCAAGTCAAAGGTTTACTCAAAAACACAAAGCAATAAAAACTTCTGAATTAAAGCTTGCCATGTCAATTATCAGAAACTTGTGTGGACTCCCTGTGCTATGGCTCTGTTCTCAGTTCTCATGATCTTGCCAAGATCTGATCCACCTTGTACAACACCGCAACATTAGCAGGAGTTAGGAACCAGAACTGGGAACCGAACCCGAGCACTCCACCAGTATGGCATGTGGGCATCTTAATCCAAATGTCACTCCATCCTCAATTTTTGTTTCAAATATGAGAGGTCTTCAACAACTTCATGGGAAATGTGTGTGATGAGAAAAGTATGCATGAATTCCAAAATATTTTTGAACCAACCTGCACTTAGTATTTTCATTATGTTTTCCATAAACTTTCGAAGAACCCCTCACAGTCACAATTCTTTTACAAGTTTTTTACAAGTTTACCTTGGAGATGAGTTTACTTTTTCTGTGGTTTAGTCCTAGAGTCATGCTGAACATTGTTGTGTTCTGGACTTAATAATGACCATAAAAATATTTGGAGATTCAACACAATATATTGGGTTCTTTATGTCTTGCTTTAGGAACTTAAAGTTTCTCATATCAGATGCATGGTTAAGTTTGTCATCATCACTTATTTCATTATTTTAGCCTAAAAGTGAGCCTGATTTACAAACATTTTATAGGGTCTGTTCATAATATGTAGTGTGGTTGACACAATAGTTTTAGGGCATTTTATGAAAAGAACTGAATTCAAAAATCTTTCAGGGTGGGTGTTTGGCAGAATTGTTCAATCGCTGCTTGGACCACCTACATCCCTTGTCAGAGTACCTGAGTTTGAAATCTGTCTCCTCTGCTTTGAGTGCTAGCTTCCTTCTAAGGCACACCATGGAAAGCAGCTGGTGATGGCTCAAGAACTTGAGTACCTATCACCCACATGGGAAACTCAGAGTGAATTCTGGATTCCCAGCTGACCTGGCCTGGCCTAGTCCTGCTTTACTTGTGGAATAGACCAGCAGATGAAAGATCTCCCCCATAGTCTCCTCTGCTTTTCAAATAAAATAAAAATAAATAAATATTTTTTAAAGAGTTTGGACAATGAGTGCTCCAGCTTGAAGGTTCACCATACAACTAAAAAGCATGCCAGCAAGCTAAGGTTTCTGCAAAAAAACTTTTTCAAATAATTAGCAGGTGCACAGTCTCCGTCAAACAAATTGGGCCTACACCTTTGCCCACCACTTTGTGTGCTGTCAATCTTCTGCCAGTGAACCCAGATTGATGTGTGATACCAGTCTTCACCAGGCCCCTACTGCAGGCAGGGCACTGGGCCAAGTATTTCCCATGGGTTTTTATTTTTTCTCAGACTTCCATATGGAGTATACTGTTGAGCTTAAGGCTTTAAATCATTTGACCATTAGGATTCAGCTGCAGAGTGATGGAACTGGGAGTTGATCCCTCATCTAACTCAAGAACCCGTGTTCCTATCGTAATTGTTATACTGCCTCCAGAAAACATTTCCATCTGGTTTCAAATTCCAGATATAGCATACTGTGAAAATGACAATCATTAGTTCTACAAGAAGGAAATACAATTAAGTACTTAGTTCAGATATTGTGAAATTTTACTTCCTTTAAAATATGTCTCAGCGCATTATGAAGGCTGCTGATACAACGGCATTGAATAAAGCTTTGCAGTGCACTAATGTCAGATGCAAATTAAAGCCATAATGAGAACTTGTTGCACTCTTGTCAGGGGAACAGATGCCAAGAAGTTTGATAAAACTAAGTGCCTGATATTTTTTAAAGATTTATTTACTTTTTTTGAAAGGCAGGTTTACAGAGAGAAGGAGACATGGAGAAAGAGATCTTCCATCCCTGAGTTCAACCCCCAAGTGGCCACGAGAGCAAGAACTGAGTCAATCCAAAATCAGGAGCCTGGAGCTTCTTCCAGGTCTCCCATTAGGTCAGGAGCCCAAGGACCTGGGCCATCCTCTGCTGCTTTCCCAGGCCATAAGCACAAAGCTTATATGGAGTAGCTGGGGCATGACAAACCAGTACCCATAGGGAATGCCAGCACACAAAGGTATAGAATTAGCCATACACTGTGCCGGCCCCAATCTCTGAAACTTTTGATGCAAGTTTGGAGTACTGATAACTTTCATCTATTACTAGATGTATAACTTGAGAAAAATTGCATTTAAAAATACCTTAAAATTATCTAAGAAGAAAAAGCAGTTGTGCAGACCTTATAAATCAAAAATTTTACCCAGAGGTGATTATCCTGGAAAACTCCATGCATTCATGCAAACACATCCAAATACATCTAATGTATGCTCAGAACAGTACTGTTTTTCATATAGCAAGTCAGAGATGCCTGTGCAGTGCCCATCATCAATAGAATGGATAAAAACTGTGGTCTCAATGTGTAATGTTGAATATTACATTGCTAATTAAATGAACAAGAGGCAGCTGCTTGCAGCATGGATGGCTTTATAAAAAAAGGTCTAGGACAAATGAAATTATACTTTAGGAATACATAAACAGATAATAAAATTATCAATACAAACAAAGACATGAAGGCCATGGTCATCCTCCTGCCAAGCAGATGCTGTATGATCAAAAGGAACACTTGGGGGCACTGCTGAGAAAGTGGTATTGGCATGGGCAATGGTAAAAGGTCCAGCATCCTATTGTCAAGATAGTTAACAATTTCATTGGGAGTCCATCTTTGGAAGTAGAGATGCATACTACATGGTATCTTTACATCTGGATATGATAATCTCCATTAACACAGTTACTGTACATCTGCTTAAATGAAAAGCCATAAAATAAAACCAACAATAGGAAGAAAAAAAGAAATTAAAAATTCCATGCAGTTAAATAACATGCTACTAAATAATATGTTGCTGAAGAAATGTAAAAATCAAAACCTTCTTGAAGAAGATGATGCTACTGTAGATCTATGAGTCATTGAAGAATTTAATTAGAAGAAGGTGCTTTGAAAAGATGAAACTAAAAAAAAAAAAAAAAAGAAAAAAACACCAAAGTGAGGTATAGTTTCCACTGATATTTGTTGGTGAGATAGGTCTCCTGTAGGCAACAAATAGATGGGTTTTGGGTTTTTTTAATCCAGTCTACTAATCTATGGCGGTTAATTGATAAGTTTAATTAATTTACATTCAGGGTTAATATGAATGGGTGGTAATTTGGTCCTGTCATTTTAGCAATGGGTTGTTCATTGATTTAGTCTTCTATTGTCATTTTACTGGGATGATCTTCACATTTGCCTTTAGTTTTGGCTGGCACTATTCCTCTTCTCTGTTGAGAACATCTTGAAGTATCATTTGTAGGGCAGGTTTGGAAGAAGCATATTCTTTTAACTTTTCTTGATTATGGAAGAATTTTATTTCACTTTCAAAGACAAAGGAAAGCTTTGCTGGGTATGTTATCCTGGGCCAACAAGCTTTTGCTTTTAGAATCTGGAATATGTCACTCCATTCTCTTCTTG